AAGCTCCTTTCCTTGCGAAACCCTCCAGGAAGACTCTCAGAGTGAGGCGGAGTCGCCCGCCGAGCCTCTGCACAGACTTCGCCCTCTGTCGGCCATCGAGGTGTTCAGACAGGTGGACAGCCGGCAGGCCTGCAGGCCTCCGTCCTACGAACAGGCGGTGCAGACCATGGTTCTCCCTCCGCAGTACGGAGCAATGACCGTAAAGTACGCTATCGAATTGGAAAGGAGGTCACGCCCGTCCTCTGTCAATTACGACTTCCCACCGATCTCCTTGGACTGTTTCTCTCAGGATGAAGGAAGTTTGGTCAAGCAGAGACTTCCTTTCCGACAGAGAGCCATGTCGGAGTCCGTGTCCAGACGGGATCACGACGTGGTGTCGCGGAGATGCAGTCAGCCCGTGTATGATGAGCTTTCCTACGCTAAGGAATCCTATGTTTAGATAACTATGGACCAGAAAAGAGTTGAGTCAAGAATGACGATTCCTTTGCTTTGTACCAGCAGCTGCTCCCTGCACTATCGCTCACCTTTCTTTGGCCTTCGGAGAAACTCTGAGGCAGAGCAATTCTTGTACGAAAATGTCAGTTTGATTGACTTATTCCCTGCCACTGTTCACTTTGAATCGATGTGCAGCTACTGCTAGTTGCACCATCTCAGTAGTACTATTTTAGAGTACAAATATTCACGATAGATATTTAGTCTATCACCTGTATTAAGCTATTAAATCACAGCATCCGATGACTGAAGATATGCTAAAAGGTTGTTTTTATATATATATATATAGTTCATGTTTTTTGTAAATACAGAAATGTGTAAAGTGTTTTTTAAAAACCTTCGTACTTCTCTTTGCATATTAAACTACATGAAAGCACTTCTCTGATGATAAGCTGCGTTTTCCACTATATGCAGTAAAAATGTATAAAAAACAAGTTGTAAATTGATCATAACATGTCAACTGAAAATGTGTTATTAAAATCAACAAAACATTTCTTTGGTCTGTGAGCGTATCTCTGCTAAAAGTTGGTCAATTTGACCAACTTCTCTCTGCAAGAATGTGCTAACAATCCTTATTGAAACAACAGTGAGTGTGTTCTGGTGCACACACGCCTCGCATGAGCAGAAGGAAACCAGACAAAGTCACATGGACGGATTTGGTTTTTCTCTGAATCGCTGTTCATCTTGCGTCCGTCCGGCTGCACCACTGTTCCACCTTGTCTTCCTTTTCTGTCTGCTTTATCTCTGTGACATTTCCTTCCTCTGTCACAGTCTGTCCGATCAACTGTGCAACAAAGACTCTGCTAAAATTAGTAAAGAAACAACCTGAAAAGGAGAACACGAAATCTGGAGAAGTATTGTTGTTGTCTTTTTGCAGTATCTCTGACTCAAAATTTTCTCTCTGCTGTTGCAAACCTGACAAGTAAAGTGTGAAGTGAGATCTGCAGTGAGGAAGTGTTTGAAACATGCATCTAGTGGCTGTGCCCTGTGGTCGAAGACTTTATCTGTTATCAGGAAACTAATCTTTTTTATTTTGCAGAGGCATAAACAATACAAAACTGCAAAAACCAAACTGTTATGTAAAACAAGGGTGTCAAACACATGGCATGAGGGCCAGAAAGGTCTCATTGGAAGACGAACAAATGACTTTTTCTTAAATATTTTTGGGAATTAAACATCAATAACTAATGTGGCCCCCGAGTTAGGACCCCGGTTTGAAGAGTTGAGTTTTTTTTGCAGAAAAAAAAAGTTTTTGCCAGCGTAGTAGATAAGTATTGAATGCCAAATAGAAGAACTTTTCAGACAAAAAAATTGCTTTTTTTTTCAGTCTTCATTGACTTTTAAAGGAGATCTCACAATCTAGAGAATATAAAAAGTAGGCAAACTATGACATTGAGCCCTTCCCAAAAACACTGAGTGGTTTTAGATTATATGATAAACATGTATACTAATAAAAGTACTAACACATATTTAAAATCAAAATGAAACCAGGTCTTGTAAATTCTTGGTGTATGAAGAGACTTTGTGCCACACTGGTTACATAACCTCATGGCCGGCGGTCAACACTAATGAGTGGAAGCGGAAGACAGCAGCCGACTGAAGACCTCACAGCTCGGTACTGGGTAATGATTTGTGACAAGTGAAGAGAAGAAAATTGTCGGCTGTTAATGACTTAAAAGAAACCAGCGCTCATTCAAAAATATGATAATGACTTCATTATGAAAGGCTGAAAAGGATAAAAAAAAAATCATGACGTAACCCAGATGATGTCACGTCTCTACAGACTGGTCCATATTTAGCTTTTCATGGCGGTAAAACTTCAGCCATCAGAATGTTGGATCATTATATTCTTTGTTGCTATTTCTGCTAACATTAAGTTATGTCCAGGATTTCTGTCGGGCTTTGTTTATTGTTGACAGCTGACCTGACCAAAATCATGATGAAATTAAGTTATGAATTCAGTCATCACTCCACATGACACCACACATCGCTCACCTTTACACGTCAAAGTTTTAACCATGGTGTACTCTACTGTTGTACGTTTCCCTTTGACGACAACAAAGTACGAATGACTTCATCACCTGTGAAGTCTCTGAACAGGAAGTGGTCTCTGCACCAGCAGGTGTGATCACAGACGGTTACTCAAACTTTTTACTCAAAGTTTAGAATCGTGAGCACGAATACCTGTATTATATGCAAAATATATTGGTATACACTACTATTGTTGATAAAACAATACCTGTATTATATACAATAAAAAATGTTTTTCAGTTTGATCATTTCAGCCATTTTCTGGATTGGTTACTTTTTGGTATACACTACTATTGTTGATAAAACTGAGAATTAAGGCACTGAGTTTAACCATGATTACATCAGTTTACGTGGGAAGGAGTGAAAAGGTCTAAAGTTTTGTTTCTAAAGGTCATTTATGTAAACGTGGATTTCCCCACGACCTGGTTTCATCCAATTTAACTACCAACACTTTGAGACTGATAAACAACACGATATCACAATTTATTTATTTATTTATTTTTACTTATTATAGCTTAGTTAGTTAATTATGGCATTATAGAATAATTCATGGTACATTCGATGAAGCGTAATTTATTGTAAAAAATAGGATAAATGTACTTTGCCTGGAAACACTGCCTCTATTTATCATTGTCTTTATAACTTTTACCTCAAATCCTCTTTGTTTGCTTCCATTTACAATGTTTGTTTTAAATGATTGACGAGAAAAACTAATACATTAGTTACGGGCATCAGAATAGAAAGATTTATTTTTATTTAATAGTCCATATCTCAACTATGAACAACCAAAAAATTCAAATAAAAATTCAAAATATTACACTTAAAACTGTGTATTATGTATGTGATAGAAAAAAAAATGTCACGCGTTATTTTAGCCATTTTACCCTGAAAAACATTTTAATGTCACGCGTTATTTTAGCCATTTTAATTTGGAACGGAAGTGACCGGACCGCAACAGTCCAACACTTCCTGGTTACTGTTGCTACAACTTTTAGTTTCCTCCGTCAACTTAATTAGTTTGATTGTGTTCCGAACGCGAGAACCGTGGCGGTGGAACTGGGGTTCTGCTGGTTCTGACACTTGGAACACCTCAAGCGAACACTTCATGGCGTTCGGTTCGCATCGAATGAGAGAGTTGAGCGGCACCTACACCTTCTCCAGTCGACCCAGGGCCGTGGAGAACCGCATTAAAGTTCCGCCTCAGCAGTACGTATTCACCTGTACGAGTTAAATATCGTAACTAAGGTCTAAAATCATATGTAGGGCATGGTCGACACAGAAATAGGGCTGCAAAAGTAAAGGCCGTTTTTTGTTTGTTTGTTTGTTTCCGCTGGTTTCTTGAACATGGATTAACATTGAGATGATTCTAACATAATGGCGGGTTCCTCGGGTGTTTAGGTTCTAAATAGGCCATTTTGGAGGGTTTGGGGATGTGATGGGTCGACATTCATTTGGTCGACATTCATTTTCAAAACCACTGTTGGCGTTGAGTGTCAGATTGTATGCTCTAATCATTTTTTTCCCCATTTCTCTTCTGAAATGACAGGGCTCTCAGAAACTATGGAAACATCATGTATGACCGCCGTGTTGTCAGGGGAAGCACTTACTCCCAGCACATCCTACAGACTGTAATAATCAATCATCATCACAATTTTATATGTTTTCATTTCTTTCTATCCTTTCTACAGTCTGTTGATCTTGAATTTTTTCTTTCTTTCCCTTACGTCACTACAGACGGCACAAACAACCCCTTCAGAAATACAAAGACATCAGGAGATGAGGAGAAGAGCCATCACACAGAAACGAGCATTCGGAGAATCCAGACTTAAAACCCCTGAAGCCCTGCAGGGCAGAACTCATGTTGACGTACAAACAGGTAACAGGTTTTTTTTCACTGTTCTGGAAAACAGCATTTGACCTATAACCTGGATTTATTTTTTCTAGATTTATATCTCGAGGAGCTCAGTGACGTTCTAGCAACAACAGACATTGAATGTCAGACGGATGCATTTTTGGACCGACCTGCCACTCCTCTTTTCATACCTGCCAAAACTGGCAAAGATGTGGCAACTCAGATAGAAGAAGGAGAGGTGGGTAAATCACATGTCTGGAGTTGAACCCCTGACCTGCCCATTGGAAGGCCTTTCTGAATATCCATTTGTCCGAGGCTAGCCATTTTATGTAGTTAATAATAACATTCTCCACCTATTTTACACAGATATTATGACATCATCAGCATATCGTAAAATAAACGCCTGTACCATCATCATAAACATATCATAAACATTGACTCCAGTTTTTTGGCATGTTAGCATCTAGCGCTTTCATACCATATCTCATCCCACTGGTGAAGCTGTGGATCAGTGGATAACACTGATCTTCTGCAACTACTGACTGCGTTCAACTCCAGACATGGCTAGTCTACATGCCCATGAGTTTACCCCTAGTGGCTCCCTGTGTTGACTGCGTTCAACTCCAGACCTGGCTGGTCTACGTGCCCATGAGTTTACCCCTAGTGGCTCCTCCTAGTGGCCTCTACTGAAAAAAAAGTATTACTGCAACTCCTGACACTAGTACTACTTATTCTGACTATCTTGTGCAGTTGTTTGACTTTGACAGGGAGGTCCAGCCCCTGTTGGAGGTCCTGGTGGGGAAAACGGTGGAGCAGTCTCTCCTGGAGGTGATGGAGGAGGAGGAGCTGGAGTGTCTGCGGGCCCAGCAGAGGGCTTTCCTGGAGCTCCGAAACAGCGAGCTGGCAGAAGTGCAGCGGCTTCAGGAGCAGGAGAGACGGCGCAGCCAGGAAAAAGTATGTTCATATGTATTCAGAATTAGTAAGTACTGTATTATGTAATTCAGTTACAGTCCACAGTAGGGCAGCGTCATCAGCAGAATGAGAACGAACTGATTCTGTTTTATTCTGAGAATTATTTCGTGTCCTGTAAAGCAATTGAATGGACTTTGTAGAGCTCTTATGTGAAAAGCACTTCACAGTGTCCTTTTCCCCGTACACACAATCACACAGCCCTGCATTAGGCTCAGTACGAACACGTGTCTCTCAGAGAAGTGGTGTGGATTCTGTTTGCTTTTTTTTCTATCTCTTGTTTTTGTTATATAACGCTGCTGCATAAGTGATAAAATACCACATAATACCACAAGAAATTTGAAGTACTCAGCATTTACTGAGAGAAGTTCTTTTTTTTTCAATTATGTCAATGGGAGCTTAAATTGTTTGGTGCCAGCCCCTGCGGGCTGACAGTGGTACTGCAGTCAGAACAGCTTGTCTTGTTGGCTTATAAATGACAAAACAGGAAATGTCCACCTTTTACCTCTGCTTTAGTGCCAGTACTCATTGAAGTTGTCAATGAGTACTGCTACAAGCATTTTTATGACTTGTCACTTGTCACTTGGGCATTGGGGATCAGGTGGAATTGAACCAGGAACCACAACAACAACAAAAAACAAAACAATCCTCTTGGGTATGTGGCTATGCAGTAAAAATTATTTTAAGCAGGAAAGTTAATTTAATGCACAAATAAACTTTACATTTGTAACATACTAATTAAGAGAAACCTGACTGAAGTTTTTAATAATTGTAGGGTTTTGTATTTTAATTTTTTTTAGGAACGTAGAATTGCTGAGCAAAGGGAGGCATTGAAGAAAGAAAAAGAGACGGCAGAAAAAATTGCTGCTCGTGTCTTCAGCCAACACTACTTAGCTGACCTTCTACCTGCAGTCTTCACCTCGCTCAGTGACCATGGTTACTTTTATGACCCTGTGGAGAAGGGTGAACTTCACTTTCACACTCTACTTTTCTGCAACCTGATGGCATTACTGCACCACAGAGACTCATACACCTGACATGTGACTTTGTTTTTTATCTGACTTTCAGATATTGAGACAAATTTCTTCCCGTGGCTCATGGCAGAGGTTAATAAAAGTCTGGAGAAGAGACGTGTGGCGAGACAACTGCTGGACGGTAGGTGGCGTTGATCTGTCCGAACGGAGTAAACAACGTCTGTGTGGGGTCCCAATAATTTTTTTTTTTAACAACATTAACCATTTAATATAATGTCATTTTAAAATAATAAATTAAATAAAACATTTAATAATATAACATAATATCACAAATCATAAATTATCATTAATCAGAGCATCTGATACATACATTTAATAATATAACATAATATCATCATTAATCAGAGCATCTGATACAACCTATACATTATCATTAATCAGAGCATCTGATACAACCAGTTCTCAGGTAGAAATGGAGCCATTTGAAATACAGACACAGTTTGACAGCACCCACGTGATGTTGTCTCGCCGTATGATTGGATACGTGGCTAATTGTTGCACTCATCTACACGTGTTCAAACACTTAATAGGATAAGATAAAGAAAAGAGGCCTCACAAATCAATCTACGGCAAAGACTTTGTTGCGGCGCCATCTTCTGGACGCTTGCAAATATTACAACTATTACCGTCGTAGTAATAGCAGATTTTGACAGAAACCTCTTCATCCTGTCTGTCTGTCTGTTTCAGGTATCATCTACGAAGTGGCCCAAACGAGGCAGGCGATGTTAAAACAGCAAGAATCACAACCACAAACACCGGAGAAGTCTGACGTAGAGAACAGAGAAAACGTCCAGTGATGAAATAAAATGCTGGGATCAAGAGGAAAAGCTAGAGGAAGGAATTGTTTTATTTTGCATAAGAAAACAAACAAAAAATCCCATCAGGATTTTCGTCAGATTAATGAAATAGTAAAATAAATGAAATGTTCAGTTAACGAAAGGTTAAAAGTGAATTCCTAATATTTCATCTTTGGGTTCATTTAAAACAAACAGAATGTGTTCTCTTCATTACATTTTCATCTTTCTTTTTTTTTGGCCCTAAACTGATTTTTTTTCTTATAATCTTCCAGAAAATGTTACTTTAATCCTACAAGCCAGACTTTGTCATTGTTTCAATGAATAAAAACAAAAACGTTACTAATTCCAGAAATCTCAGAATGTAGCTTTTGTGAGATGTATTTGAAAAAAAAAAAACAGAACTAAGAGATTTTTTTTTAAATCTGAAGTTTTATCCTCCTTTAAAACCTTTTTTTTCTGGTCAGAATTGCTCGATTGAAGCCAGTATTATTAGTTATTGGTGTCAAAGTCTATTCCTGTCTGTTTTTTTGTGTTTTTTGTTTTGCACCAGGTGTTATTTTACTAACAGTCCGTTCAGGCAAATTCAAGAATGCTTTGCATATGTGAGACTGTGACTCTGTCGAGGATCAGTGATAAAAGGTGACGACTAAAAACTCAAGTTCCGTGAACAAACTTAGATGGTCTCGTGTCACAGTTCACCGCGGTGTTATGTCGCGAAGTAGGTCTTACCTCTGATATATACCACTCTATTTTAATCCTTTCCTCTCATTGGTCAGCTCATCTCAGGCACCGCCCCTCTGCCTTACTGCGGGGCGGATGACGCCGAATCAAAAGGGGAAAAAAAAAGTTTCTATGATGTAACTACTTTACCTCAGAAGGAAACGGTATAATCGGTCTTTACACAATTAGAATACAAGTTGTTTAGACGTCGATTAGAGTTTGTTTCTATGCAGCCACACCTAAAAAAAGTGTGACATTAGAGGGAAGTTTGACCAAATGACTAAGAATAGACGGCAAACTCCTGGATTTAAAGGATAAAGGTGATTTATTCACATGTAAAAAAAAAAAACCAACAGAGACTTATATATTATAGATCATTCTGTAAACAAAAAACCCCAACAGATTATAGAAACTTATATATCATAGATCATTCTGTAATATGCTGTGTGAGACCAAGATTTGAAAATACATGTACTATATTGTCACTTAAAATTAATCACGTAATATGCTGTCTGAGACCAAGATATGAAAATACATCTACTATATTGTCACTTAAAATTAATCACTCATATTATTCTTATATATGTGCAACTTTTAAACTTGCAGTTTTTCTTCTTCTTCTTTTCTTCTTTTAATGCTACAACTTAATTCCCAGAGGGAGGGGGAAATACGTTTTCATACAAACTTCCCTCTGCATCATAATGAAAGTGTCTTTTGGTTTTATGTGAAAACCCCCTCCTGCTGGGTCGCGTGCAGGGCCCCGTTCCACTGCTTGTGAACCCCTGCAGCTCTGGCGGTGAGAGCAGGAACAGGCACGGACTGTGAGTGACTTGGATTGGTGGAGGATGAGCGCCATATTGTGACTGGTTGAAGAGAGGGAGGAGAAATCTGCAGCTGCAGCTCCGGACTATCGTCTGCTGAAGCCCATCAGCTCCGGTAAGACTTTCCTGTCAATTCGCGTTGTTCCGTTTGACCTCACCTGCTCGTTGTAATGGTGGTTGACAAAGAGGTGGAAGCTTCAGGCACCAAAAAATGTTTCACTCTGTACACTTTATTTACCGCCCGGTGCACAAAGGAGGCAAATCTGACAACAGGTGTCTGTGGGATTAGAGTGAGGATGTGGCTGAACGCAGCGACGGCGTCATTTTTCAAACACAACGTCTCTGAATATGTACAGTTTTACTCTATAATACTACAGTATTCATTCTTAACTTTTACTCGGTTTTAACCTCGTGGGGTATTTTTCGTTCGTTCCCCCCATGACTGTGGGGCGTGAACCGAGCTCAACCAAATGTAACCTTAAAAAAAAACAGACACCGGAAGTCACATTTTGGTGACATTTTTACAGTTTAACTGACGGTAAATGTTACACTGCAGTGTTTGTTCACGTGTGAACTGGTCAACTGCGGTCAAATCTGACATAATTGTTTTAGTGTTACGACAAACAAACATCCATCTGAACCGGGGTGTTGGTTTGTTAGCAAAGGGGAAATTAAAATAAAAGAGCAAAACATAGCAGGGTGGAGACGATTAACTTTATCACAGCCCGTGGGTGAGGCGTGTTGAGTACCATATTTAACCTGCCTGCTGCCTAGATGAGTCAAAAAAGTCAAAATAGAATGAAAATTTACAATTTCCGGTTCAATATTTCAAAATACAACACCACATCACCTATAAGCTCCTTTTCCCCAAAATAAAAGCGTCCCCCAATGTATTCATAATTTGGTTACACTTACTTAATTGTCAAGTTATTATTCCGTTATTTGTGTATTTTCTCTTATTGCAATTTGATGGGATGTTTGTCTGTAGAATAGAAAAACTATGATAATCTGGTAGTTGAGAGTAATCCAGATTGAAGTATTACTCTGAAACACAAATATAAACAATTTGATGAGGGTTGTTTAATTAACTTCATGTTTTATTATACAGAACCTTTAGTTAAACACTCCTATTTCATGAACCAGCGTATTTTTCTTTAATTAAAATAAGTACGAACGTATTTAGTTAAACACTCCTATCTCATTTTCTTTAATTAAAATAAGTACGAACGAATATTTGTGCCAGTGCAGTTTAGAAACAAAAAAATAGGGTTAGCATTAAAATAAGTTGTATTTAAATTGGTCAAAAACATTAATTTGTTATATTTTGATCTTTGGCCTGAGAAAAGCTCGCTTAAAAAAAGGCGTGCTATTCTTGTGAAGGTGTAACTGATCTATTTCCGGTGCGTTTGTGTGTTCCGAGCGTGAGCTTGACTGTCTGAGTGGTGATTCATCTGTGATGACTGTTACAGGCAGGAGAGTCAGAGCCTCAGTGCTCCGGCTTTAAGTAGCGCACAAGTAGCTCAAACTCGTTTCTCCTCTTTCTCTCTTTTCAGAAAGGACACATTGAGCGGCTCAGCCACACACACAGACACACAGACACACAGGCACAGACACAGACACAGACAGACACAGCTCTCCAGTTCTCCTCTGAGCTGAAACTCCAACAGAGCCAGGAAGAAGAAGAAAAAAAAGGACAGAAAAAATGCCTAAAGCGGTAAGAAACCTTTTCATTTGTTCTCATTATTTTCACTTTACTTTACTGTGTGGACGTTGGCGGTTTTCTTTTGACATTTATACATTTTTCATCAAGTTAAATTGACGTTTAAAAGTTCAGAATACTCTTTACATTTGGTACAGAATGTCTTATTAAATTTGACAGTCATTTCCATTTACCAGTTCTTTATCAAACTGGTCAAAACACCATAATTTTTTTTTATATATAATGATACAGGGTGTGTCACATGTACATCATCCATGTACAGATCTGTGAGACATTAAGTCTGGAAACACACACACACGGGGAGAGACTCCGTGATTCATTTTCCAGTCTGTTTACAGTGTAGGAGGTGGACACACACCAACGTGATCCATATTGTTGGAATTGTCTTTCATTGCATTAATAAATAACAGGGGCGTGGCTATGTTAAAAATGTTCTGAGGTGAAACCATGGATTTATTGGAGTTTGCTCATCACTGTCTTTGATTCTTATCAATGTCAGAAACTGGAGGATGAGGACATTTGAAATATTAACGGTTGGCCTCAGTGTTCTCGAGATGTTGGAATAAGTTTAATTAAAAGCTGTGAGATATTTAGTGAGAAAAAGTTACAAGACACCGTAATAGGTTGTGCTCTATAGGTTTAAATGATAAGGGTAGGTAAACAGAGAGGCACAGTCGTTTAAACACAAATCAAAACTTAAGCAAACAACGGCTAACAGAAAGCTTAAATGTGTAAAAAGGCTAAAAACAACCAATAAAGCTGTTTGTTAGCATAAAACCTAAAATCAGCCTGAAAACAGCTTTATAGTTTATCAACAAATTGATAAAAAATTAGTACAAATTTTAGCACAAAAACGTATTGCTTATATATATTTCAAACATAATTTTATAATATTTGAAATTTTAAGATGTTATTAGACCAGAGAAAGTATTAGAATGTACATTATTGCCATTTATTTTAATTCAAAATAACACAAACTTCATCCTTCTGTGCTCTCAGCTGTTTGGTTTGTTTTTTTCTAATGATTATTTCTTATAAAAGAGTGCATTGCTGACGTTGCTGCACATATTTGAGCAGCTCTTGACTAATGGAGCCACACCCCAGTTCTTACGTACAGTACAGAGGCACATGGCACAGGTTCCGGCCTCAGCTTAATGCTTGGAAAGTTCTAGTAGGCGGTGTGACTGCCTCTGTATATTATAGACTATGATAGGAAAAACTGATGGAGATGAGAAAAGCACGTTTCCCAAAGCACAGAGTCAACCTTTTTCATTTATTTAAACACTGCATATGTGGCTGCTTACATCCCGGTGGTGGTGTGTGTCTGTCTGTAGAACACAGCCGTCTGTTGTGTTGACAGTGACTAAAGCCCCGGTCTGTGTCATAAAGTGTGTTGTGGGTTTGTTTTGAATGGCCTCAGGGTTGTCAGGACGGCTGCTGTGGAAATGACATCAGGACTGTCTGATAGCAGACGTTACAAAAAACACTGTATTTAACACCGTTATGTCAGATTGATTGTATAACATTAAGAGTCCTGATAAATGGGTTTTATTTTATTTTTCCACAGAGCAGGGTAGAAAATTAAAATGTTTTTTTGGTCATTTCCATAAAAAACTAACACATTTAAGCTAACATTCAAATACTCGTTAGATCAGTTCTTAGGTATTTGTCCATTAATCCATTAGTTAAACTTCAAGATCATGAGGTAATTTTGGGAATAATTTTGCTTATTGTAAGGTTATTTTGAGATGATTGCAGACTAGCCTTGGCTAATTATATCTTTCATTTTCACTTCCCCTTTTTTCTAACTCTTAACTTTGGCCTAAGTCTTACATGTTTATTGGTTTAATTTTTAACTATTTTTTACTGGATTTTTACTCCCTTCCAATCCTGAGTTGTTTTTTAAGATTGAGTTTAGTCTTTCATGGAGTTTTTGCTCTGTTTTACTGTCTGTTTTTCGGGGCTAACCTCATTTTATCTTTCAGATAATATTGGCTTTGTGTCTTCTTGGCTGATAAGTACCTTTTCAGCATATCTTTATTGATAATTTGGTCGATATATGTTGGCTACTCACTCTTGTCAGTGTTGATCATCATGTAGCAAAGGTGTGAGGTGCTTTTATACACTTTATTTTTCAAGGCAGTCATTGTTATAACTCCAAAAATACAGAACAAATCTGTAACTCATTATTTGTAGTCATAACACTTCATACAAAGTTCATTTCACTGGTTCTGTCTAGTAAACAAAAATTCAAAGTAAACATAGTCGATAGAATTGTTATTGCACCTGAGGGAGAAACAATTGTCTTTTGCAGATTTATTTCAGTACTTCTATGTTGAACCATGATCGGAGCACATTAATCTGATAGAATTTGTTGTAAGCATCAGGTTTCAGCGTTGAACACTGGATGAAAGAACGTTTGGCAGATGTCACACATTCCAGTGGAGTTCTTTTTTAATTTTCTGAAAAAGAAACTAGTTCTATGACAAAGCACCTGGAGGCCCCGTTGCAGGAGGTTTGGTCTGATGAGATTTGAGGAGCGACCGAATGCTCCTGCGCTCGAGCCTTGGTGACTCATGTTACACTTATCTGAGTGACATAGTTGTCAGGCAGGAATAATAGCGCTCCCTGGCTCTCCCAACAGAATCCTGTTTTCACCGTGTCCCCGACACAAAACCCTGCGCAAGGTGCGGCCACCAAAACTGTGGGATGGGTGTCGGTGGCTGTCGTCAGCGTTTGATTCATAGGGTGATTGAAAAGTCAGTCAGGTTTGGAACGCCCTCCACTCCTGATGGACAACTCACCAGTCGTTTTGGTTTCAGAAAAGCCCTGGTGAAAGACACAGTGGGCCGTTCCGCTCCATCCTTGTCAAGCCATTGTCTTTCTTGGAGAGAGTGTGGCCGTCATTTATGGCTTTACGGCCCTCGCCGACATTCTCTGTCTGTGCAGAAGCCATGCAGACTATGCAGAGGGTTAAATATTGAATGGGTCTCAGTGAAGAATGCAGCCCAGTCTCTTTACAGGTTAACCAGAGAGGTGACGACCACCAGGTGTGTCTGACTTCACCGACTATTGTAAAGTCAGAAGAACAAATATTCCCTGTATGGTTGCAGAGCATGTTGTATCCTTTGTTTTTTTTTTTTTATGCTTGTCAAATGAAAATCAATAAAGTCTGGCCCGCATGTCAAACGAACGCTAGACGTTGGGAGAAATGTTTTTAAAACATAACATTGGCTTAAAAATGTTTCTGCTTTTTCTGAATTAAAGAAGAAGAAGGCTCTCAATGATATTTGTCACGGTTCTTTATTGCGTTCACAACAGAGAACTAGTTTGTCTTATTGTTTTACAATTAGACAAACTAGTTCTCTGTTGTGAACGGTTGTGTTTATAGTAAATATGTAGGTCAACAGCGGTGATAAACTTCCCTTTAGTTGGTGCAAATTGGCCGGTGCTGCTGTTGGTGAGAGCTGAGCCAGTGATACAAGTGCACTCAGTCCACACAGATTCACCACTGAGGATTGCACAACTGAAAAATGTTAAAAATGCCTACAGTCCTGTGTTTAATTGAAATAGAAAAATCCTCACTTTTGCCATGTTAAAAATGCTTACAGTCCTGTGTTTAATTGAAATAGAAATTCACGGTGAAGCTGAAAGAGGTTGATTTTTAGTTTTATAGAACACAAAAATCACCAATTTGTCTTAACATTTAGCTCCACATTTATTGGTCGAGAAAAACTCTAGAACAATATCTTTCTAGCAGAACCGCAACATAGTGTCGCTGTCTTCTTTTACTGATAGATCAAAAGGGGATTTGAACTCTGCCTTAACGAATCACAAGTGGATCATATGGCGATGGAACTTTTGTAGTACTATTGTAGTACATAAGTTACCTGGTTTGTTGTTGTTGTTCACCAAAACTCCGTCGTCTCATCCGTGTGTTTGTAACTCCCGTCATGCGTCACTGGAACTGGTGGGATTTGCCATCCAGCCCATGTGTAGTTAACACTATTAGGTTTCTGGGTTTGACGCCTACACTTTCTTCAGACTGAATCTGCTCATTGTGGAACTCTGGGTCTGTGCCCGGGTATATTTTTAGCATATGTGTCATGTTTTCTTTACCTCTGTAAGTGGCCACGCTTCATCTGGAGTTAGCACTGGAAGACGACTTCTCCAGATCAGATATCACTCTCCCAGTAGTTTCTGTTGGCGTACACGCTGCACATATTCACATGTTCCATCCGCTGATGGTTAGGGAGCAGGTTTTTATTTTTTAATATCCATCTGTTACTGCTTCAAATACACACTGTGAAGTTTGCAAGAGGGCAGACATAAACCGACGTTACTATTCATTAGATCCCTTTTCTAACAATGGATGCCTCAGAGCTACTTCCTCCACCAGATTTCCATTACTTCTGCTGCCTTTTCAGGGGGGCTGGGGAGGTGGGGGAGTC